CTTCTGAGTAATGTACTCAGAAAACATGTTCCAAAATGGGGTGCAGCTAAGACAAAACCTCAATCAATGAGGTTAACTCATCCCAATCACATTAAAAAATAACATTTTAACTGGTTTAGCACAGGTTTTGGTGCAGCAGACCGATTATGGACAGAATAGTCCTTTGCTTAATGCAGGACCTTAGAGCAGTGTTTTTCAAACTTGGTCGCTTTAAGACACATGGACTTCAACTCCCAGAATTCCCCAGCCAGCATGCTGGGTTGAAGTCCACACATCTTAAAGCCAGCTGGCTGGGGAATTCTGGGAGTTGAAGTCCACGCGTCTTAAACTGGCCAAGTTTGAAAAACACCACCTTCAGTTACTTACCGACTGAACTCTGTTTTGAACTCTCTGCAAAAATTAGGATTTTGCCAGGAAAGAAAATCCAGTTCTTTGCCTTCAATGCAGCAAAGTCAGAATCTGGCAAAGAGCTCCACCCTTTGAATATCTCCGGAAAGAAAGGAAAAAATACCCAGCTCTTCCTTGTCATATTTTATCTGCAAAAAGGCACAAGGGTCACCTGAATACTGGAGCCTTGTCCTCCCCCACCAAGAGTTAGCTGGGCCGGGCTGATAAGTCACTTGACTTCGCTAGGGTTAGACTCTGCGCAAAATTCAGTAGCTAATAGCAAGAACCTCCTCCTGATTCTCTTATCCTTTCAGAAGCAGTTGGCACACCCAGGATGGGCCCCATCAGGCGAGCACGTACACGCCAAGGAGGACGGCCTGGAAGAAAGCGATAGGTCTGCCTGGAGGGGGCGGGGGGAGAGCTATCAGGAAGGCAGTCTGCTGACTTCAGCTTGCGGGAACAAGGAAGGTGCAAAGCTCCCTTTCCATGCTGGGTGACCCAAGCCGTCAGTTCCTCTCCCTTGTAATTAATTGCTGCTGGAGCAAAGGGAACGGAATGGGGTGCATGTCAAAGCACATGAATGATGGGTCCCAGCTGCAAGATTCCCCACGTGCACCAAAACTTGTGTTTCCCACTAGGAGGCACTCTTTCTATGGCCTAGATCAGTGTTCCTCAACCTTCGCAACTTTAAGATAGGTGGACTTCAACTCCTAGAATTCCCCAGCCAGCCATGCTGGCTGGGGGATTTTTGGAGTTGAAGTTCACCTATCTTAAAGTTGTGACGGTTGAGGAACACTGGCCTAGGTGAAAACTATACAGCTGTAAGTAAACAGCAACATGCCTGAGTTTGTCCCATTGAATTCAGTGGGCTTTACGTCAAGGCAAGCAGGTTAAAATGTTGGATTGGGACTGGGGAGATCCAGGGTGAAGACCCTTTTCACCCATGAAAGCTCCCCAGACGACTTTGGTCAATTATTCTCTTTCAGCAACATGTACTTCAGGGGGTTGTTCTAAGAATGAAAAAGGGGGAGGGGGGAGCATGTTTTAACTTTAATGTTAACTTTAACTCCCTAAGAAAATTTAATGTTAACTTTAACTCGCTAAGAAAATTTAATGTTAACTTTAACTCCCTAAGAAAAGGTGAGATATAAATGCAATAAACAAATGAGAACATGGAACAAGTGTTTTTAAAAATCCAACGTGAATTTGCAACTTGGGTCAGACTGGGGACATGATCTATCGTTTTGCTCAGGGGTCGCGTAAATGACATTTTAAATTATTTTTAAAGAAAGGCTGTATGGTTGAACTGGCTGCCCTTTCTTTACGCAGGGCTGACTCAGATGCGGGTTTATGCATATCTTCTCACAAATGTGATAATTCAGTTCAATGGAGTTGAAATGTCCTGTTCTTGATGGCTGTTTGCTCTGCTTAGCAAAGTGCATGCTGTCACCTAGTGACCAGTGTCTCTAAGAGGTAGAAACCATAAAACATTGAATGCTTCTTGGGGGATTGTCTGTTGCAACAGAAAATAGGTTTCGGGTTCGTTTCATCTCTTTTTTTCCCCGGGTTGCTCTTTCAGTGTTTGGAGTATTTACTGATTTATTCAATGGACAGGATCCAAAAGAAAAAGGGAAAAAAGATTAGAAAGGAAAAGGAAAAAAGCAAAGTGAAATCCTTGTTCTTGCTTACCAAGGTGTTGAGTTAGTAAACGATCAGCTGTTAGGAAGTCTGCTCCTACAAAGTCAAAAGCAGTACATTTCTAATAAACATGAGCAGAAGGGAGCAATGGCTATCACGTCTTGGTTGCGGGCATTCTAGTTACCCTTTGTGGAAGCGAAACACTAGATTACAAAGGTGTTTGGTTTATCAGCATCTGCGTTTCTGGAGCCAACCTGACTGGTTGCCACAGTTCCAATTAAGCTCAGAAGGAGACAAGAATAAATAGGCAATAGCAACAGCATCAAGAAATTCAAGGGGTGGGGTGGGGTGGGGTGTGGTGGCAGGCTGCTAATGAAGAACATATCTGACCCCAGTTCTTCCATAACCTTATCCAACCTTGGCCTATCAAAACACCATTAAAGCACTGCAGCTTACAGTACTGGGGGCTTGGCACTCCACTCTAGCACAATGCTTCTCAACCTTGGGAACTTTAAGATGTGAGGACTTCAACTCCCAGAATTCCCCAGCCAGCTGTGCTGGCTGGGGAATTCTGGGAGTTGAAGTCCTCACATCTTAAAGTTCCCAAGGTTGAGAAACACTCCTCTAGCAGAACATGATGATGGAGCAGAGTCCATAAGCTGCTAAGCCTCCCTAAAGCCTGCTTACATTCAGGCCACTACAACCAGGCAGCTGCTTTGCACATCTGTTCAGTGTTCGGGGCTTTAGATTTGGATTGCTCATCTGCCTTTCCACTGGCCTGCAAGCAGATGTGGCAAGCCGTGACGTCAGTGACAGCACCATTTATTCTGCGGAGAGATCTGGTCATTTAGAACCTGCTAAAGTATTTGGGTTTTATATGCGCTGTTGGGAGATGCTTAAAAAAACCAGCTGAGTCGATTTCCTATATGGTTGGATTCCTAAGCATTACCGAACAGCATCCTCTAGCGGACGGTGCTGGGTGATGACACTACATGCACTGTAGTATAAACATATCCAAAACAAATGGAAAAATCATTCCTCTCTCCCCCTCTGTCCCTTCCAACAGATTCAGAATTTTTTAAAGAGAAAGAAAGAGACAGAATCGCTGGGAAAATGGTTATTGGGGTTCGGATTATAAGTGACATAAATGGTTTGAGAACATTGTAAACAGTTCTCTTCCAAGCAGTTTTGGTCCCAACATGAAGGAAATTGGGACAGACAGGGCAAGCTTTGAAAAGCTGAATTGCCCACAGGATTTTTTTTCCTGCTCAGATAAGCCGAGTGGTGCTGGTAGGCTTTTGTTCCCATGCAAAATCTATTGATGTTTTGCAGTTTTGTCTCAGTTGGCCTTAAAAATTCCTTTACAACTATTTCTCAAGAAGGAATGATTTCAGTCTGTTGCAGCAGAAAAGTATCCCGTATTCTTAAAAACCAAGAAATGTGTGATGGCATCAGTGCTTATAGGCTAGAGCAGTGTTTCTCTATCTCAGCAATTTTAAAATGCGTGGACTTCAACTCCCAGAATTCCCCAGCCAGCATGCATCTTCAAGTTGCTCAGATTAAGAAAGACTGGACTAGAGATGTTCCGCGCCATTGGTTCAATGGAATCAAAGGAGCCTCAAGTAAGCTAACCTTTCCACATAGGAGCTGTCAGATGATGCCACATGAGTCATGGCATCATTGCACAAATGATGCACTATGGATATTTTCATTATTTGCATGATGATGGTGCACAAGTTGTCACTATGGTTGCCACCAGACAGCTATGAGAGCTGTCCAGCTTCTTCACCAGGGTGTTGGTCTGTTTTCCACACCTTCTTCAGCTCTACAATACCATTTTTGAAGTGAGTCAAGCAAAATGGTGTGTACTGTCTCAATAGTGGGAGTTGTAAAAAAATAGAGCTGATTATAATTGCCCTTCAAATTTCTCCATCAAGTTTGTGGCCAGGATAGGGAGAATTTCTCCATTTCCCAAAGGAAGGACTATCCCACAGTGGTGATAGCAGGAATGGTGATACTACAGGTAGTCCTCACTTAACTACCACAATAGTGCCTGGAAAATTTGTCATTAAGCAGTGCAGTCGTTAAGCGAGACACCATGTGACCAGACCCAATTTTACTACCATTTTTACGATGGTCATTAAGCTAATCACATGGCTGTTAAATGAATCCAGCTTCTCCAATGGACTCTTTTGCTGGAATTTGCTTAACGATAATGTGATTCATTAAACGACCATCATAAGGTCACATATCATGATCACGTGACTGCGGGGGGTGGTGCAATGGTTTGCGACAGTCATAAATGCAAGTACAGATTGTAAAGCATTTTTCCCAAGCCCGTCATAACTTCGAACCATCGTTAAACAAATAGTCATTAAGCGAGGACTACCTGTACTGAAAAAAGAAAAAAACCTATAAGAGAAATTCCTTCTTATAGCATTTTGGGATGTAATGAAAATATGGGAAGCCAGGAGACTCCCATCACTGGAGCAATGAACAATACAAAGTCAGACATTCACATACAAGTCCCTTGGCCCAGCTGGTCATTGAATACAGGTAGTCCCTGGGTTGAGAATGCCTGGTTTAAGGATGATCCACAGTTAAGAACAGAGCCTACTGTAGCAAATTTTGAGTTAAATACACAGTGATTCGAGTTAAATACACAATGGTTCAAGTTCATTACACAATACT